GGGACCCGTGGCTCCATGTTGCCACCTGCGGCGGCCCCCCGAAGGGAAGCACCGACACAGACGGGCACAGAGACCGACGCTTAGCTGTCCCTCGGCGAGGTTGGCAAGCAAGCAGGAAAAGCTGAGAACCGGCTGTCCCGGGGGGGGGGGGGGGGGGGGGGGCGTCTGAAGGGGGGTCCCTTTAAGCACGAGCCTCAGATAGCCTCAGACAGCAGCCACACAAAGCAACTACTGACCTGATGCCCTGCCAGAACCGGTTTCAGCCGCCCTTAAATGCCCCCCTGCGTCCAATCAGTGTGGACGCGCTAGTTCGAATTAGCAAAACGCTAATTCAAACTAGTTTTTAGTTCTAGATGCGTTAGTTCAAATTAGCTTAGTTTGAATTAACTAATTCGAACTAAGTTAGTTCGAATTAGCGCTGTAGTGTAGACGTACCCTGAGGGGCTTGCCCCTTGTCCAGTGGACCACACTCTCTCTATGCTGAAAGCTGCTAGATTGTGTCCCTCTGTGCAACATGCAAGGCTACATGATACAGACCTCTTCCATGTTAATGCCCCATCTCCTCCAGCACTGTGCATCCACCACTTTCTGAGCTTTGGTGTCCAACACGCTAGCCAGCCCACTAGTCACATATGGCTATTTGGCCTGTTGAGTGTGGCTAGTTTGCTATAGTGGTAGCCACTGTAGTGGCTAATGCTTCAGAACTGGTTGGACACCACTGCTCTACCCTGTTTTAACAAAGCAATAGCATTAGGAGCCAGGGGCAGTGCGGCAGATTGCAAAGTGTGGACACCAGGGGGGGAAAGTGAAATAAATGTTTCACCCAGAAGGAACCCGGAAGGATCATACATTAGAGCCAGAGAGCTGGGAAGTTTACATCAGCTGAAGAGCCTGCCTGCCTGGTGTCGCAGAGGGAACTCGGAAGAGAAAAATAGAAATACGGTAAGATGGATGTATCTTGGCTCTATGGCACTGATACCAGGCCTGCTGTGTGTATTATTTCAGCTCTTATCAATGACAGTGGTTTCAAACTTCTCTCTCATAGGTTAGAAATCTAAGAAACTCCTGGGCAAAGCTCCCTGCTCAGGAAGACTGGAGGGAGTTGGAATTGGTCAAGACTTTGTGTTACTCACAGCAGCATGTGCCTCTTGGTCTTTATTGGGTCTGATTCTCGTTTACACCAAGATCATTTTACACCACAAAGGAATTTTGCCCTTGATTTCAGAGGGGCCAGAATATCATCCTTAGAAGTGTAAAGGAGCTGCTAGAACTGGACAGAGCAGGGACCCATGTCCCCTGCCTGCTTCTTGACAAAATAAATCTTTTGCTATGAAAACACATCTGAGAGGTGATTCATGGGGGAGACATGTGGGGTCACATGCCCCCAGATTTCTGCCAGGGGTTGCACAGATCAAAAGTGTGAAAAATCAGGACAGGAGGGGGGGGAGGGTGTTGGAGGT